CTGTGAAGCTCTTTATCTGACCTTCAATTCTGAATGATAACTTTGCTAGATAAAGTAATCTTGGTTGTAGGTTCTTGGTATTCATCACTTTGAATATTTCTTGCCACTCCCTTCTGGCCTGCAAAGTTTCTGTTGAGAAATCAGCTGACAGTCGTATGGGTATTCCCTTGTAGGTAATTGAGTCTCTTTCTCTTGCTGCTTTTAAGATTCTCTCTTTGTCTTTTGCTCTTGGCATTTTAATTATGATGTGTCTTGGTGTGGTCCTCTTTGGATTCCTTTTGTTTGGGGTTCTATGCGCTTCCTGGACTTGTAAGTCTATTTCTTTCACAGGTAGGAGAAGTTTTCTGTCATTATTTCTTCAAATAGGTTTTCAATATCTTGCTCTCTCTCTTCTTCTGGCACCCCTATAATTCTGATGTTGGTACGCTTGAAGCTGTCCCAGAGGCTCCTTACACTATCTTCATATTTTTGGATTCTTTTTTGTTTTTGTTTTTCCGGTTGGGTGATTTTGCTTCTTCGTACTTCAAATCTTTGACTTGATTCTTGCAATCCTCTAGTCTGCTGTTGGGAGTCTGCATAATATCCTTTATTTCAGTCAGTGTATGCTTAATTTCTAGTTGGTCCTTTATCACAACCTCGAGGGTCTCATTAGATTTCTTGAGGGTCTCATTAAGTTTATCGGTGGTTTCTAGAAAATTCTTTTTTTATACACTTTATTGATTTTTCACAGAGAAGAGGGAGAGGGATAGAGAGTCAGAAACATCGATGAGAGAGATCGATCAGCTGCCTCCTGCACGCCCCCTACTGGGGATGTGCCCACAACCAAGGTACATGCCCTTGACCGGAATCGAACCTGGGACCCTTCAGTCCACAGGCGGACGCTCTATCCACTGAGCCAAACCGGTTCGGCTAGAAAATTCTTGAAAAACCTTAAAAGTGTGGTTTTGAACTCTATATCCAGTAGTTTGCTTTCCTCCATTTCTGTCATTTGTGTTCTGTTTCTTTGTCTCCGCATTTTTTTATGCTTCACTGTGTAGATAGAGTGGCTTTCTGTGCTAGGTGTGCTATAGGGCCCAGTGGCTCAGCCTCCCCAATTACCTGAGGTGTACACTCTTGGTGCACCCCCTTGTGGGCTTTGTGCACAGTCTTGTTGTAGTTAAGCCTTGGTTGTTGTAGGTAACACTGGGAGGGATTGACCTCTAGGCCAATTGTCTGTGAGAATCAGCTGTGTCTGCAGTGGGAGAACTTCTGTGCTGGAGACACCCCTCCGGGGCAAGACTTGCTTCAATGGGGCTTTGGTGGTCACTGAGTCTGCACCCTGAGTGTGTCCTTTATGGATCCAAGGAGCTGCAAACTGGATGGTCCCACTCTGACCAACAGGCACAGTGGCTCCTGGATCTCTAAGGAGGTGCTAATCTAGCCTCCACCTGAGGCTACCCAGCAGGAGCCAGCTGTGATGCAATGCAAGTTGCCATGGGGCCTTGGGCAGCTGCAGTTTGTTAGGTAATTATCAGATTGCAGAAGGCCAGGTCTTTCATATGCAAAAGCCTTGGGCGGGGAGAGGTCCCAGGGGATCAACAGGGCGGAGCGAGCAGTTATGGCTGCCCTCAGTCCTGCCCTCAGAGGCCCTGCTTCTCAGTGTTCCGGCAATTGCTGCAAGCACCTCTGAGAGAATGCTGCCCTCGAGTTCCGACCGATGCCAGACAGTCCAGTTTCTCCCGTATGAGTCTGGGTCCCCAGAGACTAGCCCGGAACTGGAGCTCAGAGCTTGAGACTCCCTCCCGATTGAAAAAGACAACCGTGTCCTCAGCCGCCAGCCCTCTCTGCATGCGCCTCTGTACCTCTGTATTTTATTCCTGCACCGCACCTCCTCTGAGTCTTGGTATGCTTTTCTCTTTCCTTCTAGTTGTAGAATTTCCACTCAGCCAGCCTTCCTGTGGTTCTGGATGATGTCCGTTATGTCTTTTAGTTGTATTTTTGAAGTTGTGGGAGGCAGCAATTTCCAGTGTTTACCTATGCCGCCATCTTGGTTTTCCCTCAGGATATGTGTTTTATTGATTTTAGAGAGAGAGTAAGTGAGAGAGAGAGAGAGAGAGAGAGAGAGAGAGACATTGATTGGTTGCCTCCCGCATCCACCCTGATCAGGGATCAACCTGCAACCTGGGTATGTGCCCTGACTGGGAATGAAACCCACAGCCTTTTGATGTACACAGACAACTCTCCAACTAACTGAGCCACACTGGCCAGGTCTTCTTCTCTCTCTCTTACTCTCTGGATCTTTTAAAAAAATATTCCTCTTGGAATTTATGGAGTTTTATATTTCGTTTTGTTGCCTTTATAATAATACTAGAGGCCCAGTGCACAAATTTGTGCATAGGTGGGGTCCCTTGGTCTGGCCCGTGATTGGGGCCGATGGGAGCCGATGGGGGCCTGCTGGCCAGGGAGGAACCTCGGGAGGGCTCCAGGGCATGTCTGGCCCTCTCACCCAGTCCCAATTGGCCAGGCCCCAGCAGCAAGCTAACCTACCAGTCAGAGCATCTGCCCCCTGGTGGTCAGTGTGCGTCATAGTTACTGGTTGAGCAGTCGACCAAATGGTCGGACACTTAGCATTTACACTTTTATTATATAGGATATTTGCAAATTACTATGTTCTATCTATTTAGCTACCTCTTTTTAAAAAAGATAATATTCCAACTTTTCCTTCTGACTGATAGAATAATGTTAATGATAGAAAAGCCCAAACCTGCTTTCCCCTTTCCTTCTACAGGTGTTGGTACCAAAAGTACTCCTTAAACAGAGATCAGAGTGTCTGTGTTTCACAGCATGCTTTTCAAGATCTTTAACTGGCCTTGGCCGGGTGGCTCAATTGGTTGGAGCATCATCCTGTACACCAAAATGTTGTGGGTTCCATCCCAGATTTGGGCATGTATAGTAGACAACTGATTGATGTTTCTCTCACATCGATGCCTCTCTGTCTCTTTCTCTGACTCTGTCTCTCTCTCTCTCCCTCCCCCTTCCGCTGTCTCTGGAATCAATTTTTTTTTAAAGCATATCCTTGGGTGAGGATTAAAAAAAAAATTGCCCTAGCCTGTGTTGCACAACAGTTAGAGTATTGGCCTGCTCATGGGAGGTCTTAGGTTCAGTGCCTGGTCAAGGGTGAGTACCTGGATTGTAGGTTCGATCCCCATCCTCAGTTAGGGCGTGTGTGGGAGGCAACCCATCAATGGGTCTCTCGCTCTCTCTCCCTCCTCCCCCTTCCACTCTCCCTGTAAAAAAAATAAAATAAAATAAAATAAAAATCATCCTCACTCCTCAAGTGAGGATTAAAAAAAAAATCTTTCCTTCAAGCAGAGGACAGAACAGTATGAATATTGTTTGGCCATGGCTTTGATACAGAAAAAGGAAATTAAGACGCTTTTGATAAGCCTCTGTATGTGGGTGAGATTTCAATTTCCATCCTATTGTGTAATATAAAATCAAAGTAGTCTTGTTGGTCATTCCCCTCTATATTTTGGTATGCTCTGGAATGGAGTCTGCTATATGTTGTTACTCCCATTTTCAAATCCTCTATTTCATTTTTACACAAAACAATTTTGAGGGAAAGCAATACTCCCTGCCTTGTTCCTGACTTTAATGGCAGTGCATTTAATATTTAGACATTTATTATGATGTTTGCTCTTAGTTTCTCAGGAAAAGAAAACAAACCAATTCTTTATCATACTCAGGAAATGTCCTTTGTCTCTTGTTTTACTTAAAGTTTTTACCAAAAATGGTTCTTGAATTTTCTCAGCTGTTATATAATTTATAGTTTTTAATTTGACTTGATCAATGTGATTAATTAGGTTGGTGGATTTCCTAATTTTGAACTATCCTTATGGGCCCAAAATAAATTCTGTTTTTAGGTTTATTCTTAGGTGGTTAATAGTTTTTATTGTGAATGGAATCTTATTTTCTATTACCTTTTCTAATTGGTTATTGCTGGTATATAGGAAAGCTATTGATTTTTGTATGTTGACCTTATATGTGGCCATTCTGCTGAATTCTCTTATTAGTTCTAATGGTTTGTCAATTGATTTTCTTATGTTTTCCTATGTTAACAATAGTGTCATCTGCAAATAATCACAATTTGCCTCTTATTTTCTAAAGCTTATACCTCTTATTGCTTTCCTTCTTATCTTGAATTAGAACATCTGATACCATTTGGAATAGTAGTAATGATAAAAGTCATTTTTGTCTTGTTTCTGACTTCGATTGGAATGTGTCTATTGTTTCACCATTAAGTATGACTTTGCTGGAGGTTTTTATCATTGTTTTAATAAAAACAAACAATATGGCCTGGCTGGTGTGGCTCAGTGGTTGAGCATCGACCTAGGAACCAGGAGATCACTGTTCGATTCCCAGTCAGGGCACACACTCAGGTTGTGGGCTTGCTCCCCGGTAGGGGGCATGCAGGAGGCAGCTGATCAATGATTCTCATCATTGATGTTTCCATCTCTCTCCCTCTCCCTTCCTCTCTGAAATAAATAAAAATATATTTTAAAAAACAATATGTAAAATTAAGGCTGTTCTTTTCCTACTTTGGTAGGGGAGTTTTTTCTTTTATGTCATTAATAGGTATTGAATTTAAGGTAATATTTTTATTTTTAATATGTTAATATAATAAGTTAAATTTATAACTATTCTAACACTAAACCATCTTAGCAATGCTGGAATAAATCCTCTTTGACTTGATGAAGTATTCTTTTAATAAACTGTTGAATTTAATTTGTTAACATTTTATTTAGGATTTGTGCTTTGTTTTTCAGACATGGAATTATGTATATATTTTTTCTCTTACTGCTCTTGTCTGTCTGTGGTTTCAGGACTTGCTGGTCAGGAAAATGTGTTGGGTGATTAATTTTTTTATACTTATAGGCTAGTGAAAAATTATTAAAGAAAATCCAACACCTGAATTGAAAAGTATGATAACTATATTTACTCGTTAAATACTATTAAACTTTCTAAAACAAGTTGAAACTTCCACCACGCATGTTCAATTTCAGAACAATGGACTCAAGACCAAGCATACATGTTATATGCATCAAGTCTAGATTACAAATGATCTTAGTCATCATCACATCATCATTGTCATCTTTATGTTTCATTTGAATGCAGTTCATGATTCATTGGAGGTATTTTGTGATGATACTATGTTAATGATAATAAGAATGTTTTGGGGTCTTACTCATGATGGATTAATTAGAACATTCTGAACTGCGGATGTTGCAGGAATTGATGCTTTTACAGCTGGGGACTGAAGTGGGCATCTGTATTGAGAACTTTTGCCCTATGAGGGACATTGGAGTCCTTAGTTGAATCAGATGTGGCTTGTGGTGTCAGTGGGCCTAGAGTGGCCTTGGTGTGCTAGTAACTGAACCAACACTTAACCATGGAACTGCTATTCTTCCTTCAGAAGTAAAAAGAAAAAAATCAATTGACAAACTATTAGAACTAATACGATTTTGTAAAGACTTCAGTCTATAGTTTGGAGCAGTCGAGCAATATCTATCAAATGGCAATCTAGGCCTTGAATAGGGCTTTATCAATGGCAAAGAGGTTTGACTCTTTTGCCTTGCTAAATCAAATTTAAAAATCTTTTTGGGGGGAGGAGAGGTTAAAAGCTGGTCAGTGCAACACTGGATTGCCAGTAGAACATCACCTGCATCAACAGTAGCTTTCTTAGCGTGGCTTGAATAAATTTTTGCATTATTTAGAATTGGAAGGCGAACTCCGATATCTGATTTATAGCTCTTGCCTCGTAGTCTGCAATCCTCATATCCTCTAAGATTTGTGTTGTCATCTGTGCATCTTTCACATGCTCTTGGGAGAATCCATCTTGCCAGACTCCATGATTTCCGGTGATCAGGCTTCTTGAGCTAAATCACCCACGTGAATGTATTTCAGTTCTGGTCTTCATGCAAATTCTTTGCCCAGCACAGCTTTTCCATCCCCCGGTGTACCTTTCCTATCTCACCCTTCAGCCCCACCCTGTTATGCACCCTGATCTGTGAGCTGGATGCTCCAGCCTTTTCTTATTTTCTCAAGTACCTTTTATAAGGTGAGAAGTGTGCATTATGGAGGGCAGAGGGGACTTGCAAACTGCAATGAAGAGGAGTGTCTCTCTGAACAGAATCAAAAAGGAAAAAAGAATTTCAAGCTCAAAACCCTAAAATTTTGGCTCAAGGTAAGTCCCAAATCATTGACTTTTTATGTCTATGCTAAAAATAATTAATCTTTTGCAGCCATGGGGCTGATTATAACTGAAAATCAAATCCAAAGTGTGAAACTGAGATACTGCAGTACAATATCGGTTACGTTCACAGCCTTGCCAGGTCTCATGTGCATGTTGGAGCGGTGACCAGAAAGGAAAGCATTTGGATGACTCAGGACTCGGAGGGTACAAAATCCTACCCCTTGGCCCTCCCTTGCCTGCAGAAGTGGCCCTTCTTCCTCTGCAGAGGCTAATGAGTGACTTCTAACAACCCTTGTCAGCAGGAGGAAATAGCGACAGAGAGCTGGGAAAGCCTCTGTTGACACCTGTTGGTAAATCAAGAATGTGCCAAGATCAAAGCATCTTAGGTTCAATGAAATAAGGTAAACCCATGAAATACACCTCAGTGACATTTCTGGAGATCTGGTGTCCAAGGGAGTGTTACAGTGTCCCCTCCCAAGTACAAGTTGCTTCACCTTCCACCTTCCTATCACATGAAAGAGACAGAATACCATATTTCATTGATTCATTTAAAAATAATTAATTGAGCCTGGCTTGTGTGGCTCAGTGATTGAGCATCGACCTATGAACCAGGAGGTCACGGTTAATTCCTAGTCAGGGCACATGCCCGTGTTGTAGGCTGGATCCCCAGTGTGGGGCATGCAGGAGGCAGTCAATTGGTGATTCTCTCTCATCATTGATGTTTCTATCTCTCTCTACCTCTCCATTCCTTTCTCTGAAATAAGTAAAAACATATTACAAAATAATAATTTATTGAGGCAAAATTCACACAAAAAAATTAACCATTTTAAAGTGAACCATTTGGTGGCATTTAGTACATTCATAACGTTGCCCCCAAGACACACACACATTTTAACATCTCTGAAATGGGAAGCCATCTAATAATCAATGGTATATTGTGGTTTAATTGACAGAGTTTTAAAACATTCTTCATAGTGGAATATACATGAAGATATACCTTTCAGTTGATTAGATTAGTTAAAATATGGCGGTCTTCTTGAATTGTCTATTTCATCCATATCCTTGTCACCATACATATCACAACTATTTTAAAGTTTCACCTATCTGATAGACAAAAATGGTATCTAATGATAGTTTTCAATTTTTCATTTCTTTGAATTATCTGTTTTGTTTATATGCTCAATGTTTCTATTCCTCCACTAAATATAAGTCCCACCAGGAGATATTTGTTTGTCATTCACCCACAGCATCCTCAGAGCCTTGAACTAGGCCTGACAATCCATACATTTATGTACCATGATCACTGTCTTCACAAAAATGAGTCTAGTAGGGAAATATACAGTATATTAAACAGATAATTACACAATGAATTAACTATAAGTAGAGTCAACTGTTTGAGGCAGAGGTGCAGGCCCCTCTACCCTGCTTTGTCCGCTTCTGGCTCCAAGGACCATTCCCTTACCCTGTGGGCAATTTCTGCTGTAAGACCTGGTTTCCCCCTGGAAACTGTTTAGAGTTCAGAAGATGCACCCAGAAATCAGGCTCAGGAACAAGGCAAGGTTTGTGCCTCAGGCTCAGTTCTCCAAAGTTTGGGGGTCTGGCTAGGCTTGTGGATGCAGCTGCTGTGTCCTGTATCCTCCAAGCCAGAACAGGCTACACGGACAGCCAACCTGTGTGGGCTGTCTGCTCCTCAGCCCCTGCCTGGGTCTTTAGCAAAAGCCTCGGCTGGGGCCTGTCTCCTGAATGCCCTTACAAGCCCCTCTTCATCCCCAGTTCTCAATGCCCACCGTATATCCTTGTTTGCAGGCTGACTTGCAGAAGCTGAAGTTGGGAGCTGCTTCTGTCATCCCTTCTACTCTTCTTCCGGACATCCTGTTCCAGAAGTTTCTCTCTAGGGCGATCAGTAAGTTTCTTCCCTTGAGAGAGATTTCTTTCAGCCGCTCCCTGCTAGGGACCGTGTTCTTGGTCCTCTTTGTAGTCCACACGAATACAGTTAGTTCCTGGACTGGTGAAGTTTCAGGAAGCTGGGCTCCAGGAGAGCCCCACGAGGCCCCCACCCACAGACACCTCCATCAAATGGGTGCAGGTGAGGGGCCAGACCTCACTCCATCTTGGCAGCCCGCCTTGTCTGGTTTCTCTCTTCCTCTCCAATGGCTTAGCAAAGTGCCTGGTACATACTCAGTGCTTAATGAACAGGGGACATTAACACCAGTAATTCAAGTAATAATAATAAAAAATAATTAAATGTGCTAGGCGCGGTGTTAATGTTTTACATGGATTAGCTGTACTTCATTTAAGCAGGTACCATTACAATTTCAACTTTACAAATGAAGAAATGGGTTCAGAGAAATTAAGCGATTTCCAAGGTCACAAAGTTCTGGGAACTCTTTTCATTGCCCCAAATGCAGCGGAAATGCAACGTAGAGAGAGAATGCCAGAAAGCAAGTAGTGCAGGAACGCCGGCGGGCCGGGAAGCCAAGGACCCGGCACGCTCCCGGCGTTCAGTAGCTTTCCTATGGCGCTGCCTAAGGGCTCCATTACGCCGAAGCACAGACCGGAAGTGTTCCTGCCGGGCGCGTATCTGCTGCGCACGACCGGAAGTTTCTGTCCGCGGCTTTGCAGAGATCGGGGAGCGGTGGCGGCGGCTGCTGGGCATTACAGGTGCGGAGGCGCTGGGGCTTAGGAGGCAGATGGGGCCGTTAGGGAGACCCCAGCGGCGGGACACAGGCGGAATCCCGACCTGACCCGGGCCACCCCGCCCCCACCTGGGCAGAAGTGGCTCTGCCCCCGGATCTGAGCCTGCTCCCTCCTCAGGCGCTGACCCTTGACCTCGGGGCGCTCCCCCCATTGCAGGCGCGATGGCTACTGGCGCGGATGTGCGGGACATTCTAGAACTCGGGGGTCCGGAGGGGGATGCAGCCTCCGGGACCATCAGCAAGAAGGACATTATCAACCCGGACAAGGTAGCAGGGGCGCCCGAGAGCGTTGGGTAGCGGCAGTGAAGTGGGGAGGGGTGGCAGCGGAAGAGATGGGCGAGGGGATGGGGTGCTACACTTTAGTGAGATGGGAGGTAAATGTGTGCCATAACGGGGCAGGGAATATGTGCTGCCTCGATGAGATGGGGCGGAGGGGGCGGGGCACCTGTGGGAAATGGGGACTTAGGGGGTGTGACACTTGGAAGAGATGAGAGGACCAAGCGAGTGTGCCATTCTGAGGGGTGGTGGGGAGGTATCTTTACTCCGACAGGTTGGACTCTACCCAGTGAGGTGAGGCCGGGAGGGGGTGCCCTTGTCAGTGGGTGTCTGTGCCTCCATTCTCTGTCATACTATGATGTGTGTCATTGTAGCTGTGGGTTTGTGCAGGGATTGAGCTGGGGTCAAGAATTCTCAGGAAAGGGAGTCTAGGCCGTGGTTCCTCTCCTGTGGGTTCCCTTCTCAGAAAAAGTCCAAGAAGTCCTCCGAGACGCTGACTTTCAAGAGGCCGGAGGGCATGCACCGGGAGGTCTACGCACTGCTATACTCCGACAAGAAGCAAGTATCAGAGCCCCAAGCCCCAGGCCCTGGTCTCCGACCCACTGCATGTCCCTGACGTCTAGGTCTCTGCCAATTCTCCTGGGTCTCTGCCCCGGCCAGGGCTGCTGCTCACTTAGAGGCGGTGGGAGGAGCTCAGATCTCTCTCTCCCGGACCCGACTTCCCAGGTAGACCAAAGGCTCTCTCCACACCTCAGACGCTAACCTCTCACCTCCCTACACCTTGCTGTCAGGGATGCACCCCCACTGCTACCCAGTGACACCGGTCAAGGCTACCGCACAGTGAAGGCCAAGCTGGGCTCCAAGAAGGTACGGCCCTGGAAGTGGATGCCATTCACTAACCCAGCCCGCAAGGATGGAGCGATGTTCTTCCACTGGCGACGAGCAGCTGAGGAGGGCAAAGACTACCCCTTCGCCAGGTTCAATAAGGTGAGCCACCACCATTTGGACGTAGGCCACAGTTGTCCACACACTGTGAGCCACTTGTGTGGGCTCTAGAGCCTTTGTTTCAACAGTGGTTACCCACTCAGTCCTGAGGCAAATACCTGCGGGGTGGGACTCTCTGGGTCTTGTCTGCCATGGGATCTTGTCCTTCCCTGGACCTGCGCTGATTTTTGGTGGCTTCACTTGACCCTTCAAATGTGCTCTTCCTTAGAGCTGTGTCCTAGGTATTCTACTCTTCTCACTCTATACTTTTCCCTATTTGTGTCTCATTTGCCCTGTGGCTTCAGTTACCCTCTGTATGCCACTGACCCCAACTGAACGTCTCCAGTCCAAATCAACAGTACCTACATATCCCATCTTTTACTTAACATCTCTCCCTGAAGGTCCCGCAGTGCTTCAGTTCAAGTAAGTGCTCTCTCTTCCCTACCCCCAAACCTGTTCCCCATATCAGTGAATGGTACCACTACCCATGCAATTGCCCAAACCAGAAACTTGGGAATCATTCTTGACTTAGTTTCTCCCTTAGCTCTCACATTATTTTAATCAACAACAGGACAAAGAAGGTAAGGGAAGACAGATCAGAAACATATAAGCAAAGAAATGGGATTCTTTCAGATAAGAGTCATCAACAAAATGAAATAGGCTATTAATGGGATATGAAATGAGATAGGGTGAACTTGTAAGTGTAGGGATGACCTCATTAGATAGGGTGGCCAGAGCAGGCCTCTCTGAGAAGGTGGCATTTGAGCTAGAACTGAGTGATATTCATTGAGTCCTACTGATTCTGTTTCCATAATACATCACGTCTTCCTGTTTTTAATCCCCTATGTCAGCACCCTAGTCCAACCTGAATTACCTCTGGTTTAGATTATTAAGGCTCAGATGGAGCAGGGCCTTACCCAGACTCAGCCAGCCAGAGAGAAGCAGGGCTGGGCGAGGGTTTTATAGGCCTCTGCTTAAGCCACTATACAATATGACCTTGCATTCCCTGCAGCCTGGAGCAGCCGAGGCTTTGAGCCTGAAAGCATTAGGGGCTTAAACCCAGGCCTCCCAAGTCCTGACTTCTTTCCCCTCAGCCTGATATATCCCACTGCTCTGGATACTTCCCCATGATGGCTTCTCAGGCACAGCACATCCAGGTGTGACCCACCATTCTCCCCTGTGCCCCAAACCTGGTTTCTTCTATCTTACTGCCATCTTGCCCCCTCGCCCCCCCAGGTCCAGTGGAGGGAGAGGCTGAAGATGTAAGATCGAGAAGGGACAATCAGAAGTGAGGCATTGAGGCAATGGGAGGAAAGTTTGGATGAGACAATTCGAAGTGAAGACAGAAGAATGTTCATGTTGCATTTAATAAATACCACTCCATGCCAAGCCAGGCCCTAGGCACTGGGGACACAAAAATGAATCAGACACAATGTCTACCCTCCAGAAACTGTCCGTGTTGTTAGGGAGGAGTTGGGAGAGGAATAGGCGATTATGATTTGGTAGGATCCATGCTATAGTCGGAAGCTTCATGGAAGCTTCCTGAAGTTAGAGCTTGAGTTGAGTCTTGAAAGATGTCACCAGATGATATTAGGAAAGTAGTGCAGTGATTTTTTTCAGGCAGAGGGGATAGCATGAGGAAAAGGCACAAAGTTAAAAGCAATCACACCCTAGCCAGTTTGGCTCAGTGGATAGAGCATCGGCCTGTGGACCAAAGGTCCCAGGTTGCAGACTCCTCCCCAACCCGAGCCCTGGTTGGGGCTTATGCAGGAGGCAACCAATAAATGTGTTTCTCTCACATCGATGTTTCTGTCCTTCCCTCTCTCTTCCACTCTCCCTAAAAAATCAATGGAAAAATATCCTTGGGTGAGGATTAACAAACAACAACAAAAAGCAGTCACAGGTATGGCGTGCTGTGGGCATTTCCCTGTAGATGAAGCCTAAAGCCCAAGGTAGAACATGGTGGGAGATGAAGGGCCAGGTCAGGCAGCCAGGCCCAGGAGTTTGGGCTTTGCCCTGATGTCTTTGGATAGCCAGACAGATTTTAAATTTCAGTTTTAGAAAGATCATGATGACCACAGGTGGCGAATGAAGTCAGAGGTAAGTGAACAAATGATCTTCCCTCCAATACTGCTGATTCCTGGAGTCCTGCTTATTAGTCCATGGCTCCCTGTTGCCCTCTTGCTCAAGCCAGAAACAGGAATCACCAGCGACAGCACTTCCCTCCGCCCTGCACATCCAGTTGCCAAGTCCTCTGGTTTTTAAAGCCTCAAGCCTGTGCCCTTTTCTCTACCTTCCACTTGTGCTGATTTAATTCAGGCCTCACTTCTTACCTGCATTCTTTCTAAAACCTGCCAGCTAGTCTCCCAGGCTCTCATTTCACCTCCTCTGTCCTCACTGCTGCCAGGGTGCTCTTTGCAAAAGAGAATCATGACCATTTCACTCTTTTCTTTAAAACTAACCTGTTGCTCCAGTCACCCTCAGGGCGCACAGGGCCTGCAGCAGCTGGTCTCTGCTGACTCTTCATGCCTTTCCCTGTGTCGCCCTTTACTTGTGTCCCTAACTGCCAAGCTCGCACACATGAGGCTGTTTCTCGCTCATCACTGTGTTTATGTTGCTCCCTCTGCCTCGGATTTTCTCCACCATCTTCCCTCACCAGTTCACTTCTGCTTAACCTTAAGACTGAACCAGGCCTCATTTACCTCCACCCTGACCAACCCTGTTCCAGGCTGGATCGGGTGTCACTCATTACACCCCAGGCATACCTTTGTCATTAGATGACTGTGTTGTTTCTTCAGCTGGACTGTCATCCCTGTCCCCAGCAGAGGCCTAGCAGGCCCATGATGAATGTTGAATGAATGGATGGCTCCCTCACTTGACTGTGAGCTCCTTGAGAGCAGGACTGGCTACAGAGTTCCTGAGTACTTTATTAAAATACATGGCATTGAAATGCACAGGAGGGATACTTAACCAAACCTGGGAAACCAGAGACTTCCCAGAGGCGATAAGAAGTTATCTAGGAAGAAGGAATGGGGAAATGTGAAGACAGTTCAGGCAAGAACAACGAAAGTGGAGGGAGACATCACTGCTAGTCATTTGGTTGGAACTTAAGGTCCAGGAGGGACAATGGCAGCAGAGAGGGGTCTTTCACCCCTGGGTTCACTGATTGATTCAGTAAATATTCATTGAAACCTGCAGAGTGCTTGGCCCTGGGCTGAACCCGGAAGGTGGGAAATGAACCAGACGACCCTTACTCTCGAGTTTAGGGTACTTTTGGACTAGTGGGAGCCTTTGAGGGGCTTAAAAATGGATGGCTGGGTGGCCTGCTCAGATATATATTCTAGAATGCTTCTCAAGTTATCCATGGTAAAGGATATTTAAAAAAAGATTAGACAGAATACAAGTCCGCGTTTCTTTCTGTCAGGTTCAGCAGTGTGTGATTACTGTAAAATTGTTACAAAGGTTTCTAAGTGCCTACTCTGCTTTCTTACCATACACCAGGGATAACTGTGTGCAGACAGCACTGGCCTGTAGGCTGTGCTTTGAGTAGCACTGTGCAGAGATCCATCTTGGCTTCAGATGGAGAATTGCTTGGGGGAGGACTGAATGGAGGCAGAGAGATCATGGGAGGGCTGTTTCTCCCATCCAGGAAAATGGTAGTGGTGATCTCAACTGGGATGTCGCAGTGGATAGTGTTTCCAGAGGATAGAGAACGCAGAGGCAGGCTGCCCGGGCCTCTGATCAAGCAGTTTCTTCCCTCACTCTGTGTGTGCGGAGGGTGTGGGGGTGAGGGGGAGTCAAGGGTAAAGGTAGGAATTAAGATGATCATCTGCATGGCTCCCCTGTTTCTGGCTTGGGCACCTGGGTTGAGTGATGGGACTGTGACTGAGATCTGGACTGGAGGAGATAAAAGTTTGAGGGAGGGTGATGTGCTTAGTACTGAACGTATTAAGTTTTTATTTTTTTAAATTGAGGTGTAATTGACATAACTGTTAGTTTAAGGCGTACAACGTAATGATTCAATATTTGTATATACTGCAAAATGATCACCACAATGAGTCTTGTTAATATCAGTCACTTGAACATCTTAAGTTGTATGTGGAACCTCTATAGATGTTTAAGAGGCAGCTGGAATTAAGGGTCTTGAGAGCAGGTTCAGAGCCCTTGGTTTTTGATAGAGAAACTTCCCTGGTCCAACCTGGCATTGACTCTTTCATGGGGTCTCTGACTGGCAGACTCAGCTGGTGGTGGTGCTGCTTGTCCCTGAGGTCTAGGGAACCGGCATGGGCTGGGTGCATATGTTGGAAGGTAGGATTCAGGTGCCTTTTCTATAGAGCTGTGACCTTAGCCAGCTCTGGGGGAGCTGCAAGTCTCACTGCCACCACTGGATGGCAGGCGTGCTTCAGACAAGTGTCCATGGACTAGAGGAGTTGGCCTTTTTCCAGTATTTAGCCACCTGCCCCCCTCCATATTTGACCTTTGGACTCCACAGAAGTGCTTACCTGTGGGCCTGTCACCTTAACCATGGGGGCAGGAGCACGTGTGCGGTTACTGGGGCTGTGAGCCGAAGGCATGGTGAAGTGGCTCCTGGAGTGAACGCAGAGGCAGGCTGCCCAGGCCTCTGGTCAAGCAGTTCCTTCCCTCCCTCTGGGAATACCATCTCCAGGCTGCCCGTGCAAGGCCCAGGCAGAGGATTTGCTTTTGTCTAGCCCAGGGATTGGCAATAAACAAGAGGGGCTGTGGTCAAAGCAGACTGGAGCCCACTGGACGTGACACCACGTGGGCATGTCCCAACTCTGCCCCTCTGTGCCAGTAGACGGTGCAGGTGCCCGTGTACTCAGAGCAGGAGTACCAGCTCTATCTTCATGACGACGCTTGGACTAAAGCAGAAACTGACCACCTCTTCGATCTCAGCCGCCGCTTTGATCTTCGTTTTGTGGTTATCCATGACCGGTATGACCACCAGCAGTTCAAGGTGAGCTGGTGTTCATTTGCATGTGTGCCTAACCCCAGGCCCAGCAGGCCCACTGCTCTCAGGCCAACCCTTGCACATGCCTCTGAGTGTGTCCCCCCAGCCCATCCCCCATGTCTTTATCCTCAGAAGCGTTCTGTGGAGGACTTGAAGGAACGGTACTATCACATCTGTGCTAAGCTTGCCAATGTGCGGGCTGTGCCAGGCACAGACCTTAAGATACCAGTATTTGATGCTGGGCATGAGCGACGGCGGAAGGAACAGCTGGAGCGCCTCTATAACCGGACCCCGGAGCAGGTTAGCCCTGAGCCCCCAAACTCTCCTCCATGCCCCCAAATCCATTGCTTCCATCCTCAAAACCCTCAATTCTCTTCCCCAAGTCCCCCTACCTCCCACTGGTTGGTACCTGTGTGCACCCCCATCCCAGTCCTACCCCTCACTAGCCACCCTCCCTGCTCTGATAGTCCTTCACCTCCCTCATGATCTCTTCTCAGATTCCCCCAGACAGCCCAGCACCCCTTCATCTCCATCTACCCTCCCTCCCCCATGGACCTGCACGTGTCTTAGCATCTCTCACTTTCCCAGGTGGCAGAGGAGGAGTACTTGCTACAGGAGCTGCGCAAGATCGAGGCCCGGAAGAAGGAGCGGGAGAAGCGCAGTCAGGACCTGCAGAAGCTGATAACGGCGGCTGACACCACTGCAGAGCAACGGCGCACTGAACGCAAGGCCCCCAAGAAGAAGCTACCCCAGAAAAAGGAGGCCGAGAAGCCGGTGTGGAGACTAAATCAGCCCAGCTCAGGGTGGAGGGGTCGCCTGGCACAGGGGACCTAGTGGGAGGCTCTGAGAGCACCCAGAGCCGGCAGGTGCTGGGACTAACACTAGGTCCACTCCCGGTGACACTTCCTAACTCCTCCTCCCCCAGGCTGTTCCTGAGACTGCAGGCATCAAGTTTCCAGACTTCAAGTCTGCAGGTGTCACGCTGAGGAGCCAGCGGGTATGTGTGTCACTTCCTTCAATGTGTTTGGACCCTGGGCTGGAGCAGGAGGAGAGGGTGTGCCATGTGCTGCAGGTAGAGGGGGCCTCGGGGATGTGGCCAGGCTGAGGTCATGGCTTCCACTGGCTGGCTATTTCCTTTTCTGACCCAGAGCTGCCTCCAGGGGTTAACTTCTCTTCCACTCCCCCACTGCCTTTAGTCCCCTTCATTCTAAGGTGCTTGTGGGGGAGAGGGCTGAGCTGCTGGGTCATTGCAGATGAAGCTGCCAAGCTCTGTGGGGCAGAAGAAGATCAAGGCCTTGGAACAGATGCTGTTGGAGCTGGGTGTGGGTGAGTGTGGAGGCCGGGCCCCTCAGGACGGACCCTCCCGAGGCCGTGGATAAAGGCAGGGGGAGGGCGGTTCCTGTTGCCAGCCTTCCCGCACACCCTGGCTCTGCCCTGTGCCTTCCACCCACCACCTGCAGAACTGAGCCCCACACCCACGGAGGAGTTGGTGCACATGTTCAATGAGCTGCGGAGTGACCTGGTGCTGCTCTACGAGCTCAAGCAGGCCTGTGCCAACTGCGAGTATGAGCTGCAGATGCTGCGGCACCGTCACGAGGCACTGGCCCGGGCTGGCGTGCTGGGGGCCCCTGCCACACCAGCATCAGGCCCGGCCCCGGCCTCTGCTGAGTCAGCGGTACCTGAATCTGGTCTCACCCCTGACCTCACCAAGGACACCATCATTGATGTGGTGGGTGCACCTCTCACGCCCAATTCGGTAAGAGCCTGGACAAGCTGGAAGAGTATGAACTGGCCCTGCATGTGAGCATGCTCACATGTGTGCACAGGCTTGCTCCCTCTAGTGCCTGCAATGGGAATTGTCACTCTGAGGGGTGGAGACTCAGGGCGGGAGTGGGTGGGTGGCCAGTGTGAGACACAGGCACCAAGCCTGAATCAGGCCTCAGGGGCTGGCCATAGATCTCATCATCTTCTATGTGTCCTCAGAGGAAGCGACGGGAATCGGCCTCCAGCTCCTCTTCTGTGAAGAAAGCCAAGAAGCCATGAGGGACCACACCGGGTGTGGATGCTGCTGCTGTGTAAATAGAGCTGCTGAGTGGACTGGGCTGCTTCCGTTTCTTTCCCACCATTTCTGCCGCCCCTGGCTGGGAGGGTGGGCAGGAGGGAGTCATCACACCTACTTTATGGGTGGCATTGGGGCCTACTGGCATGGAGGCCCTTAGTAGCCCTCTACCCATTAAGCACTGCCCATGTTGCCCAAACACCTGTGCCTAGGAACACCTGTGGTTCTACATTCAAGGTGGCTCGCATGCAGCCATGGCCTCAGATACCAGCAGCTTCAAGCAGCCTCATGCTCTCAGTGGCTGTGGCCCTGTGCATATTCATTGGGGGGGCTCAGAGGTACGTCAGTGACAACTAGCTGCACTGGTGGCCTTGAGCACAGAGCAGCCTGGAACACACTAGCTCCTCCCCTTCCTGACAGCATCAGGCACAGCATAGCCGGTGCACACATTACCCAGGGCCTCATTTCCCCGACTTTATTCAGTGGCACGTTCACAGCGGGGATGGGGTGGACATAAGATCTGTCCTGGAGCCCTGGGGGCACCACACACCATGCACTACAGATGGGAGGGGGCACAGGGGGCTTGGTGGCCCCAGCAGAAGCCTGTGTACCAGGGAGAGGCAGTAAGTGCCTGGGTCCCCCTAGCCCAGGCCCATAATGGGAGGGGCTAATACTGGGCTGAGGTTGTGGGATGGGGATGGGAGGCCACAAAGTATCTGCTCCAGAGGGACCAAGTGGCCAAGCTCTTACCCAGGGCACAAGCCCGCAGGGCAGGCTGGGGACACTCGACGTAGAGCTGTGCCACTCTCCCTTTTCCCCTCTGGTGAGGGAGAGGAGGATTCTGGGTTGGGCCAAGCAGCTACCCTGTATTGCCCCATCCCGTTCTCGGCCAATCAGAACGGCTTCGAGGTCTGCTTGAAGATGAAGCCTCGATATGCAAGTGTCTTCATGATGTTGGCAATGTTCTTGCAGTCATCTAAAATGAGAAAGAAAAGACATTTAGATGGGCCCCAGATCCTTCCCTTCCATGTCCATAGGTGCTCTTACATGGGTGGGGGTGGGAAGCAGGGTCAGATTCAGGAGCCAGACTTTAAACTAGGGGGTCCCACTCCCTTGTGGCAGCATCTCCAGCTTTAAGTCGGGCTGGATGATGCTGGCCGGGCAGGAAGCCTGGTCTCAATGTTTCTCAGTCCCATAATTCATGCTGGAAATTGGCCGGCGTGTCCCGCCCCGGCCCCAGTGGTGATGTATGGGCGCCGTCGCAGTAAGAAAAAGGCAGAGTAAATGTGTAATTTCTCCCTTGACGGCCCCCGGCCGCTGGGCGATCCTTCTTGTTGCCGCCGCGTGGGGACGGCCTGTCCGCCACACTCCGTCTTCCCGCCACCCGCCTTGATGTCTCCATTTCATTACTGTGCGGCCATTCATCACGCCCACGGCCAGGGTGACTTTGCCGCCACTTTCGTGTGTGGAAGATGTGGCCCAGGCCATAATCACTGGTGACAAGGCACAAGCCTCGGCACTTCTGGGCCAGGGCCCTGGGAGACACCTGCCCTGGGCCCCAGGCTCAGGTGCTCAAATAGCAACCTGCCTGGAGCCTGCTCCTGTGCAGTCCCAGACCAGTGGAGGGGGTCCAGGTTCGTGGTTCCCTAACGTCCTGGCCATTAACCTTCTATTGGACACACCTGAGCCCAAGCCCTGCCTCTCCTACCCCCGTAGGCTCAAAGCTGGTGCTGGGAGGGCTTTAGCCCTGTCTGGCTGTGGCTCAGGTTAAATGTGTCTGTGTCTGCCAGACCCTGTCAGGCAATTTCACCAGTATTGTTCCCCTTACTCAAAGCTGTCCCAGAACCCTGGTGGTCACAGGAACAGGTATTCTGGGTCTTCAGTATCATGGACATGGGTCAGGATGTGTTCTGTCATCACCAGCAGGAGGTACAACGTCCCAGAGCTTGTCCCACGATAGTAAGCCCAGGACAGAAATGGCCCAAGGGCCTGGGTTTTTCTTTTCCACTGCCCAGAGCAGCCACCAACTCCTGATCCCTTCGCCAGCTTCTCCTCCCACCCCTCTCCTACCTCCCATAGATGCTCCCAGCCCATAATCAGGGCTCAGCTGCCACCAGCCCTGATGGGATCGATGGTTGTGATGGCAGAAGTATTGCATATTGATGTCATAATCAGGTATGGGAGGTGGTAAGGTCAAGGTGGGGTCAGGAGGCTCCACAGCTGCCAAGGACCAACCCCTTCCACTGAGTCCCTCAACCTGCCCTTGCCAGGACCTTAGACTAGGAAAGGGGACCCACCAGAGCTAAAATGGTTGTGAGAAGTCTCTGGTCGGGCCAGGGTCAGTATCATTAGCCAGTCACCAGCTCTGCAGCCCCTGCTTAGACCAGACGGCCCTGTCTTGCAGAGCTCACCATAAAGTATTGGTGGTACATGTGAGCATGGAGCGGTGTGACCGAGGGCGTAGTCACAGGGACACCTTGTTCCTCCAGAGACTCAAGAAGCTACAAGGGCTGGTCTGAAGCAGAAGAGGGAAGACGGATGGGTGGGTAGTGGCGGCCATGGCAACTCCAGACGTGACCCATCCCCGTGGTTTATGGGCCGGACACACACCCCGCTCATCGGAGGCCCTGTCATTTGTCTCCCTTAGTGTGTATGCCTGGGCAGTGGGGGTGGAGAGTGGAGGGAGGGGGTTGTGACAGGAGGAGGTAGGCAGTTGAAAGGCAGGGGAATGGGGCAGGAAGGGCGGTGCAGGCGGGGCGGGTGTGGGATTGGGGCAGGAGGGACCCTGGGAGGGGGGAGGGTTTATGATAGGGCTAGGGCTGTGATCACGCCATCAGAGGAACTCTGATTCGGTGATTTTCTTCCTAAAGAAGTCTGGTCTTGTTCGGGCACCTCCAATCCTTCCTGTCTCCTGTACTCTGGGGACCATAGCCGCTCTGCATATTAAGAATAAGTCCCCTCGTTATCTGCAATTACCCAGCGGCCACACACCTCATTTCTTCCAGCAGAAAAGAAAATTAGTTTTCTATTGACTTCATTTGGCTCCTCCCTCAGTGCTGGACAAATCGCTCAATCTGCCTCCCCTGGCCCAAGTGCCCGGCCCCTACTCCCAGGCCACTGGCCATCCAGAGGGCAAGCACTGACCTCCCACCTGTGCCTGGCCCTGAGCTGGGAGAAGACCCATGTGCCCCAGCCTCTGTCCTTGACCTCTTCTGACTACACTCGAGACGGCTTCATTCACATGAGGAACGTCAGCTCCCCCGAGGATCACGTCTGCAGCCTGGACCTCCCTCCTGAGCTCAGACCACAGACCCAAGTGCTCTGGAACATCTCCTTCTAGATCTCCATACAAACTCAAAACGTCCAGTAATAAACTGGTTTTCCTCCCCCGTGTTCTCCATCCCAGTGAAAGGCACCCCCAAACGCCCAAACAAGAAATGAGTCAGGCCTGACACCTGGCCTTCTCCCTCACTCCCCAAATCTAATCAAGTGTGAACTGTAGACTCTTATTTTCTGTCTAAACACCTACTTCCTGTCATTCTGGCAGCCACTGCCTTGGCCAGCACACCATTCCTTGCTTTTACAGCAGTAACTTGTCCTCGTTCCCCCTCTAATTCATTCTCTTGTTGCCAAAGGGATCTTTCTTACACAAACCTGGTCACCTCCTTTCCTCTTTGAAGTCCTAACCTCTATCTTCCCATGTCAAGGAACCACTTACTGTTTTCTGAAAATGACAAAGTAGGTTCTGGAGTTAGACAGACTTGAGTCTGAACTCTGCCCACTGGCGACAGCCCTGCTTGGTTTCTCTGAGCCCCAGGTGACAGTGGATGCGCCTTCAGGGTTGTGAGGAGTAACAGGTGATGCACCGGGTCTCTGCACGTGCCTTCTGTTTGGGATGCCTCTTCTTGAAGGGAAGACAGGGATGCTAGCTTTCTGGATGACCCAGAGGTGAGAAAGTGTATAATGGACAATCCATGGCATGGATGACGCGGGCTGGCACACCTGATGAAACCAACCATCACTCACTCCACCCACTTGGACTGACTACCGGTCCTGTTTACTGGGGATTGTGGAGTCTCATTGTTGCGACTGGTCTATGACATGAAGAAAGAGGAGCCCGGATGGGGAGGCACTTGCTTCAGTTCCCCCAGAGTCAGTGGCACAGCACTTACGGGCTTCCAGCACAGGCTCGCTCTCCACCCTGGAAGCCTTCATAAAAGTCCACGCAACCTACTTACTGACCAGTGTAAACAGTCACTGGCACGGCTAGAAAACGAGGGAACTGGGCGGAAGCACAGACACAGATCTGGGTCTTTTAGCAGATCAGAGAGACAGCAGCAGAGAGTCCTCTGTTTGGGGTCCTGGGGCCACCTGGGGCAGTAGCCCACCTCTGGCACCTCTCACTGAGCTAATGAGGTGAGCCTGGAGCTGTTATGGGGTGGGGGCCACGAAGAGCTGGGTCACAGCCTTGTGCTCACACGGAAGGCCTCCAAGAACAGGTCTTCCTCACCTCCAATTTCTAGAAGACTAACCTGTTCGATGTTCTTGCAGGGTCATCAATTTGTGAAAAAAATGACCCTCTTCTCTTCTTTTTATGGGCATTCATATTCTTAATGTTGAAAATATTTTTATATTGCCAAGACCACAACGGGAGGGGTACGGCAGCATAAATCCCCAGACAGGTGAGTAGAGCTAGCACCTCACAAAGGATAACTTGTTGGCTGGCCCAAGGATAGCCCTGTCTCTGCTGGGCAAAGGAGCTGCTAGTGGAGGGTAGTTCCGGCCATCAGGACACCCAGTGAGAGCTCACCGGGCACAACCACCTGAGGCTGACATGGTTAGCTGCACTTGTCTGGGAATTGAACAGTAGAGGACAAGAAGCAGGACCTGGGCCAGGCTACCCCTAGGAGGGAAGGGGGCTAAGGAATGTCCTGGAGATCATTCATTTGTGTGCTCATTAATTCAGCAAACACACTGACACCTTCTGTGTGCTGGGCGCCCACGGGCCGTGGTGGCTGAGGGCTGCGCAGAGTGTAGCTCCCTGTCCTCGAAGAGCTCAGAGACAGACCTGTAGGTGGTGCAGTCTGAACAGTGCTATGAGAAAAGGAGGCACAGAAAAGGGACCTCATTCAGTCTGAGGATCAGAAAAGGGTTCCAGGGAGGACCAAGTTAAGCAGAGGTCTGAGGGGCATATGGGAGGGGCTCGCCAGCATGTTGGGGTTGAAGCTGGGGAGGTGTCCTTGCATAGTGAACAGCATAGGCACATTCTGGAGGGGAAATGTGAATTTTAGCAAGTGGTGATGGTGGGGTGATGAAGAATAAGAGGCAGGGGAGTGGCAAGAGATGAAGCTAGTGAGGCCAGCAGGGACTGGCTAGAGAAAACTGATGATAGTCCCAAATGAGAAGCTAAGAAACTAAAGGTTTTATTATTCTGGGAATGACAGGGAGACACTAACATGTCTAAGGAGAAGCATGAAAGGACCAAATCTATGTTTCGGAATGATCATTTGAGGATGGAGGGACTAACCCTCAAGGCAGAGACACCAATCAGCAGATTGTACTGTGGTCCAGGCCAGAAGTGGAGGCCAGAACTAGGCCAGTGGCGGCAGAGGTGGAGGTCTACTGGTGATCTGGAGAAGTGGACGGAGGAAAGAGATTTTCAGGAAATTGGATGAGCAGTCCCCTGAGGGGATTGGCAGGCTGGAGGGAGGAGTCCAGGATCTTAGTGCCACTCACGGAGATAAGGCAAACCAAGAGAGGGTGCAGGTTGGGGTCAGTGATGAGCTTAGCTCCGATGTGTTAAGTCTTGAGGTTCCTATGGGACATCTACACTTATCAGACATTTCCTTTATGTCTTCTAGGCTTTATATCTTGCTTAAAAGGCCTTCCTTATCCCGGGATTATTAGAAAACCATGATATATTTTCTTCTAATACTTTGTTTTTATGTTTAACTTTTTAAACTGCCTGGAGTTTAT